AAAAGCGAAGGAAAGCGAGGAAAAGAGGGAACGCCCCGCCCCCACGGTGATACCGGTATTACCGGTGTTGTCACACATTGATTAACCGGTGGGAAAATTTCCTCACCGTCACAACCCTATTCTTAGCTACATTTTAATATAATTTTTCTAATAAACTAATACATCTTTTTCAGTCCAGCAAGTGTTCATATTGAAATATTGCTAACATTAACTTCTAAAAAGTATAAAATATTAACCAGTCGACAGAAGGCACGTAGAAGATTCTGTATAGCAGTATTTTCAGCAGTTTTGATCATGTTGCTAATTTAGATGCCTATGATTTAAATTGCTATGAAATTTACATTTACATTTAGTCATTTTGCAAACGCTTTTATCCAAAGTGACTTACAATTGGGGGATACATAAAGCGATTCTTCTTAAAGAGGCAAACAGATACAGGAAGTGCTTGTAATACCAAGTTTCTAGACATTGTTCAAATAAGTACAAGCTAGAAAGAGAAGGAATAAATAAAGAGAGAGAATTTTTTTTTTTTTTATGATGATGATGATGATGATGATTATGATGATGATGAAGTCAAGTAGCTTCGAAAGAGATGAGTTTTCAGCTGTCGCTTGAAAATTGTCAGGGATTCAGCATTCTGGATAGGGGTGGGAAGATCGTTCCACCAGCCAGGAGTGGTGAACGAGAATGTTCTGGAAAGTGATTTTGAGCCTCTCTGTGATGGTACCACGAGGCGTCGCTCATAAATTGTTATGAAAGTCCCATGAAATATGCTACAGTAGGCTTAGGGTTAAAACACTTTGACAAAACTATATTTCAAGAATTTATTGGTTTGAGGGTTGGGTTCGGATAATAACATTTGCTATCAAGAATATCAAACTTACCACTGGAGATATTAATATTTCCAGCCTCAATGCCAGCTTTAACAGCATCTCTGGCAGCGGCAGATATTCCTTCGCGGCTGAGGCGCTCCTTCTCCTTTTCTTCAAGGCTTCCATAGAAGATCCTGGCCTTTTTCACAACTGGAGCTTCGTCTTCATCCGACATCTTTTCCAACTATTTGTCCAACAACCACAGAGTATCTGATATGAAAAACAGGCATGATTTTGAATCACAATACCTTGTTTACAAATCTTGTGTGGACAGTTCTACATCGTACATTATTAACCAACCTAACTTTTACTTTGGTTTCTGATGTATTCAGTATTATCAAATAGTGCTATTAAAAACGTGATATTCTTTGAATCACATTGAAGCACCATGTAAATACCATTGTATATGAATAGAGATATCATTCAGTACTATCATATATCACTGCACCACAGTAGTTTTTGCAGTGTTCAGAAATTAATTTGACCTAAATCAAGAGAAGCTCAGGAAAGATAAACACATCCAGCTCAACCAACTCTTCACTCACCCTTTATCCTTTCACAAACGCACAGATAGCTTCCTTTAAAAACAGGTTGTTTATATGAAATCTAATGTGTACTGTCTACAAACACGACCACACGACGGGGGCTAGCCGGCGCGCAGTATGTCGTCATATCCGCCTGTTTTACACTTCACTCACTACAAGAATAAATAGTGACATCCAGCGGTTGAAATTATGTCAGACCGCAGTCTTTGATGTAATCTTTTTCATATTACGCTGATGTGTGTTCCCTTTTCACTGCAATATTTGAAGCTAGGCATATTTTCCCCAATTGTTCACGATTTTAATAACTCTCAAGACTTTGTCAGGTCTAAATCATAGTTGTGAAATTAGGATACCGCATATATCCAGGTTCAAACAAGGTGAATTAAAATAAGGAGTCTTCATTTTTAGATGTTTTGGCTTATTTTAATGCGTGTTTTGGCTTATTTAAAATAATTGCTTTGGTTTCTGATGTATTCAGTATTATCAAATAGTGCTATTAAAAACGTGATATTCTTTGAATCACATTGAAGCACCATGTAAATACCATTGTATATGAATAGAGATATCATTCAGTACTATCATATATCACTGCACCACAGTAGTTTTTGCAGTGTTCAGAAATTAATTTGACCTAAATCAAGAGAAGCTCAGGAAAGATAAACACATCCAGCTCAACCAACTCTTCACTCACCCTTTATCCTTTCACAAACGCACAGATAGCTTCCTTTAAAAACAGGTTGTTTATATGAAATCTAATGTGTACTGTCTACAAACACGACCACACGACGGGGGCTAGCCGGCGCGCAGTATGTCGTCATATCCGCCTGTTTTACACTTCACTCACTACAAGAATAAATAGTGACATCCAGCGGTTGAAATTATGTCAGACCGCAGTCTTTGATGTAATCTTTTTCATATTACGCTGATGTGTGTTCCCTTTTCACTGCAATATTTGAAGCTAGGCATATTTTCCCCAATTGTTCACGATTTTAATAACTCTCAAGACTTTGTCAGGTCTAAATCATAGTTGTGAAATTAGGATACCGCATATATCCAGGTTCAAACAAGGTGAATTAAAATAAGGAAAGTCTTCATTTTTAGATGTTTTGGCTTATTTTAATGCGTGTTTTGGCTTATTTAAAATAATTTTAAGTCGTATTGAGACCCCCCTGGTTGCAGTGGACTGCAGCGATCGCTTTTTTATTTTTATTTTTGTACTTATTTGAATTGTTTTTGTCTTATACCATTCTTTATTTACTTCTCAGGATGGGTTTATTTATTAAATTCATTAAAGTTTTTTTTTCCCAACGAACGGATGATTAAATGACCTGTGCTACTTTTATTGTGGGCCATTAAACGAAATACAAACAGTAAAACAATTATGAAACACAAAACACTTCAAACAAGTCAGCATTTTATTTTCAGTTTATTCGGTTATTTCTCAACGCCACTGCTTTCCATGCGCTTGAACTACATTTCCCATGATTCCCTTCCGAACGTCCTATGGCGATAAAGCGTGTGTGATTGCGGTAAGTGGTGTGATGTGAAACAGTCATGTATTTCATTTGGACTTGTTTGCCGTTAATCTGTCACGTTGAATAATATAAACGACAAAGTTCGTAGTCTTCGTAGTTAATTATCCTGCTGTTTGTGACCGTTTAAGACCCAAGAGTTTAAAGCTAGTGGGCTAATTAGCATGTAGCTGCTAAACAATAACATTATATTGCAGCAGCAGGAGTCGATTCATTGAATGGACCGTATATGCATTACTTAACGATGCTAAACTTTAAATATTGATATCGGTATTGCAGTCATCAGCGTGACTAAAGTGATAGTAATTTCCTCAAAACTGTCAACATTAATTTCCTCAAAACAATTGTGAACAAGAGTTCAGCATAATTAAAATTGGTTTATCTCACAGATCTATAATATGTTTGTGTGTGTGTGTGTGTGTGTGTGTATATGTAGAGAGAGAGAGAGAGAGAGAGAGCTAAGTGGTTTAGCCATAAACTGACGTATTAGCGTATGTTTTAACGCGTTTCCAGGCAACAAGAGGCCGGTGACGTGAAGATGCTGCGCAGGAAACCCACGCGCCTCGAGCTCAAGCTGGACGACACAGAGGAGTTTGAAAGCGTCAAGAAAGAGCTGGAGGTAAAATCCAGATGAATTTCACGATGCTTGCTTTCCATACAAATTAGCGTACTGTACAGAAAAGAACATTGAAACAACAAGAGGTAAAGGGGTTTCCACAATACACATTTTTCCATGTGAAGTCAGGTCACATTTATTTCAAGAGCGTTTTATACTGTACAGATTGTTTCAAAGCAGCTTAACATTAATAAACCAGAAAATAACTGTTAATCTTGCAAATTTCTGTAATTATGAAACCAGGTCAAGTTGGTTATAAGCAGCTCTACAGCAGACAGTAGTGTCTTTATTCTGTTCAAGTCAGTTAAAGTGAAGTGACATGTGGCCAAGTATGGTGACCCATATGCAATTTGGATGCATTTAACCCATCCAAAGTGCACACACACAGCAGTGAACACACACACACACCGTGAACACACACCCGGAGCAGTGGGCAGCCATTTTTTGCTGCGGCGCCCGGGGAGCAGTTGGGGGTTCGGTGCCTTGCTCAAGGGCACCTCAGTCGTGGTATTGAAGGTGGGAGAGAGCGCTGTACATTCACTCCCCCCACCTACAATCCCTGCCAGTACGAGACTCGAACCTTTGGGTTACGAGTCCGACTCTCTAACCATTAGGCCACAACTTCAGTTCACTATTGATTTAATTCAGTTCAATAACTGTGTCGATGTTGTGAAGGTTGTGTCATTATTCATGCAACAGTGGTTGCAAAGCTCCATCAGAAAAGGAGAAAACAAATCTTTTGGAGAAACCAGGCTCAGTCGAGCCATAAGCAGCAGGGAAAACAAGTGAAAGAATTGAATACTACTTTTGAAAAAAGATTAAAATGATGTACTAGAACTGGCCGTGTTCTGACTGGCCGTGTTCTGAGGTCCTGTGCTGATCAGCTTGCTGGCGAATCTTGAATCTTGAATCTAGAAGAAGCTGGTTTATCCATATTTTTCCTACACTCCACGACGCTCTGCGTGAATTATGAGAGTACCTTTAAACGGTAAACAATCAGTGAAAGTTTCACTCTATGAACGCAATAAGCATTTTCAAAAACTGGGTACAATGAGGTGACATTATTCTACTCACCCTTCAACCACTGAAAGGGAATTTAAACCTGGAATGAGACGTGAGGATTTGGAGAGAAAAATTAGGTTCTTAGTGCATTCCAGTGAATTATTCATGGGACATATATCACAAATGAACTCGGAAAAGCAGACCACAAATGCGCAGTATATGTTGATGAAAATAATCATGAGTGAAAAAAACACAGCAGACTGAAAAGAGCTCGTTATACCAAGTCACGTTAAAATACCAAGTGTAGCGCTTTTCTCCTGACGTCAGGAAAAAATAGAACATAAAGGAAAATGTACAGCTCATTCAGACAGATAAGGATTATCTGTAGTGCAATTTTGATTCGAAATGATTTGTTTCAGTCTTTTTGAATGGAACTTCCTCAAACCAGAAGTGCCTCTCATGATTGAAAGCGCAGTAGGCTTGTTATGAAAAAGTTGGATTCTGCATAGGACGTAGTATTCGATTTGTGTTTATTATCTTGCGATCACATGACCAGCCAAAAACTACTCATTTCAGCTGTAGGACAAATGAATCATGGGTAGCAAAATGCCTGTCGAATTATGCAATGGCATCCAGTTTCCATCTTATTGCTTTTTGGAACCCAACTTAAATAAAGCATTTGTATTAACTCGTTGCTCCTTCATGGTATCCCTACCATCCCTGCTGGAATAAATATGTGACCCTGGACCACAAAAGCAATCTTAAGTTGCTGGGGTATAGTTGTAGTAATAGCCAAAAAAACATTGTATGGGTCAAAATTATCGATTTTTCTTTTATGCCAAAAATCATTAGGATATTAGTTTATTATTAAGTATTTATTAAGTAAAGATCATGTTCCATGAAGATATTTTGTAAATTTCTTACCGTAAATATATCAAAATTTCATTTTTTTGATTAGTAATATGCATTGCTAAGAACTTAATTTAGACAACTTTAAAGACGATTTTCTCAGTATTTTGATTTTTTTGCACCCTCAGATTCCAGATTTTCAAATAGTTGTATCTTAGCCAAATATTGTCCTGTCCTAACAAACCATTCATCAGTGAAAAGCTTATTTATTCAGCTTTCAGTGATTTATAAATCTCAATTTAAAAAAAAATTGACCCTTATGACTGGTTTTGTGGTCCAGGGTCACATATGTTATACCAGCATGGTCAAGCAGGCCAAACAATAATGATACAACTAAAAAACTATGTAAAAAATGTGAAATAGCATCTGATTTGAGGAGGAAATGACAATTTGTCTAAAGCATATTTCAGCAAATATGTGTGCTAAGATCTACAACATGCACTTGGATAGTTTTGTGTAAGGAAAGATTGATCTTGTTTTAATAATCTCCTCATTTCTTTTCCATGTCTGTCCAGAGTCGAAAGAAACAGAGGGATGAGGTGGATGTAGTTGGTGTCGCCACATCCAGCGAGATGAGCGGAGCATCAGGTGGTGGCACGGACGGGAAGACCAGGGAGCAGATGATTCACGAGCGAATTGGTTACAAACCCCACCCAAAGCCTAACACTTTGCCATCACTTTTTGGGAACCTTCAGTTTTGACAATTTGCAGATATGAAAAATGGACTATAAGGTCTTGAGAATCTGCATCACACACATGCATATATTATGATTTGATATTGCCTGAACTGAAATAGACAAAGCACATGCATTCTGGGTTTGATTAAAGGGTTAGTTCACCCAAAAATGAAAATTCTGTCATTAATTACTCACCTTCGTGTTGTTCCAAACCCGTAAGACCTTCGTTCATCTTCGGAACACAATTTAAGATCAGTGGTTCAACTGAAGTTACGAAGCTACGAGAATACTTTTTTGTGCAAAGAAAACAAAAATAACGAGTTTATTCCACATTTTCGTCTCTACTGCGTCACTTTGGACGCGTGTTCATGACAGGTCAGCGCCGGCGCCGCCACACGCTCGCGTCATGATACTGTCCAAAGTGACGCAGTAGAGACGAAAATGTGGAATAAATTCGTTATTTTTGTTTTCTTTGCACAAAAAAGTATTCTCGTAGCTTCGTAACTTTACAGTTGAACCAGTGATCTTAAATTGTGTTCCGAAGATGAACGAAGGTCTTACGGGTTTGGAACAACACGAAGGTGAGTAATTAATGACAGAATTTTCATTTTTGGGTGAACTAACCCTTTAAATGTGTGTTTGTGATAATTGATTACAAAGGACTATTTTTCTACGGAGTAAATAAAATCTTGTTAGTTGGATGTGGGAAATTGTGTCTTTTGGCTTTACTGTAAATACAACAAGAACAAGGAGAAACATTTTATAGCTGAACATCAAAAACAGGTTGGTTTATAAATGAGGTGGTCACAACAATTATCCTTCAGATCATACGATATTTATTCATTTTCTTTGATTACAGTACTGTTTATATTTCAAACTCTACAGACATGACTGAACTGTAAACAGACTAAGAAATCTTAACATTGCCACAGCACTAGAAATGAGGTTCAGCGCTTCTACACAAAGGCTTGTCGTTTTTCCAACTTAAGACAATGCAAACTTACTTTGCTTTTAAAATAAATCTGCAAAATTGATTAAAACCACAGATTCAGTTCTACAGAGTGCTACAAAAACATGATGTGAATATTTTCTTTTAGAGCAGTTTTTCTGCTTTTAACAAAAAATAAAAACTTTTAAACAGGCTTTCTTCTAAAACCCACATGCTTACTGGTTTAAAATATATGTGGTTAAGCAATTTTCTCAGTAAGAAAGCCTTTATTTTTTCAAGCAACTGAGACACACTTTGGGCACTTTAATTGGGTCCCATACTGTATGTAAAAGGCACACCCCTTTCAATTAAGGAGCATAACTATCCTCAATTTCAACATAAAATTCACATTCTGGAACCCAGTAACTATCAGAGCGATGACCTTATTATTTTTTTAACAGCTCATGATTTGCACATCACAAATGCGCCACAAATTTTCATTTTAAAAAATGTCATAACATAAAAGGATCTACATACAGATTGCCAGAAGACATTGATAGCAAGTACACTGTCGTAGCTGGGTGTTACAAATATAAATTATAAAAAGAAATCGTGACACTGGCATCAGATATAATTTATTTCCCACCAATCTCTCCATATTTACTTAAAAGCACTCCAAAGGGAGCAAAGTTCGAGTCCCAAAACCTCTCTTTCTTGTGCAAACATCACTCAGTCCAGTGTTTATGTCTAAACAATGGTCACTGATTATTAACGCTCGTTTCAGTGATTTGAAACACTTGGCCATAACAACCTCAAAAAGGTTTAAATTAAACCCTCCCGCCACTAGTGCTTGTATATTGGGTCCACCAGATCCAGTTTGGCTTTTAGAGTCTACGGTTGCCCTCTTGGGTGTATGTGTGTGTTCCCTCATTTAAGGCAAAGGATTTAGTGAGGTTCTGTCCCACCCAGAAGCACCTTCATAAGCGTAATAATTCATGAGATGTAATGATTATTACTAATAATGTCAGTTGTGGCTCTCAGTACTATGGAGGTAGACTGTTAGGCTGTGCACACATATGCGATTACCGGGATGGGATATGAAATACGGGGCTAATTTGAATAAAACGAATCAAAACTGAATCAAAATAGAGCTTTAAAAAGAATAGAGCCACTTGGCTGATATTTACCAAGATTAATTAATTCATATAGTGCTCTACAGTTGCGGTGCATGTTGGGATTGTGAATTGGGTGTTTTTTTGAGGTTACACACAAGAGAGGTTAATGACAGTGTTCTGTAATATCCACCACTACTGCCTTCTTCCAGCTGAACAGGAAGTAGCCGAGGCCGGCGCCCGCCGCCACTGCGATGCACAGGTACCCGTTGTACGTCATGAACACCAGCATGAGGAAGTAACTGACCACCACTTGGATGATGTGAAGAAAGGTCTGGAGAAGGTGCGCAAGACTCAGCATTCGCTGGCTGGAGGAGAGAACAGAAGCAGGTGTTTAGCTTGTTACAGGATTACAAATGTCAGGACATCTGTGTGAAGAGAACCGGCGAAATGCATGTTTACCTCACAGAGGTCACTCGTGTGGCAATGACTACATGCACGGGATGATAAAATCGGTGTAAACAGGCTTAAGGTTGATTCATGTTTGCCTTGTTTTTCACTGACCTCATCATTCAAAAAGCAGTGATGAAAGAAAAAAAAAATTTCAATCAAGAGCCAGAGGTTTGCCCACCCTGGGGTTTTCAAACAGAGGGCGCAAAGTGGTCCTTGAAAAAGAAAAAGAAACTGAAAAAAATAAAAAATACGGCATACTATACTAATAAATTGACATCTAAGATAATATCGGAATCATTTCATTTGGCTTTAGTACTAACAATATAAAGGCCAATTATTTAATTTAGCAATCATGTCTTTATATTATCATGATTATGTTTATGTACTATTTTTCATTTGCCATTGTATTTATAAATCTTAATCATGACATAAAGGTAGAAATTATGATAAAGTCAATTATGAGATAAAGTCCAAAATGTGAGATAAAAAGGTCATTTTTTATCTCAGAATTGCGACTGTCATAACTGATTTCTCAATTTCAACTTTTTATGTTATAATTATGACTTAGCTCAGCTTTGACTGTCAAAACTATGACTTATCCCATGATTTAAACTTTCTGTTATTTTTACTTTTTATCAAGATTTTTTAATCTCATAATTTTGATTTAGTCAGTCAGTTCTGACTTTTTATTTTATAATTCTGACTTCGTATCTCATAATTCTGACTTTATTTTTTATGACTTTTTATCTCATAATTATGAATTAGTATGTCTTCTTGACTTCTTATCATAATTATGAATTAGTATGTCATACATCTCATATTTTAGATTTTTTATCTCATAGTTATAACGTATGTCATTTAACTTGTGACTTTTTTTTCTTATGTGGCAGAAATAGGCTTCCAAAAACCCCTGCCCAACAGATCCAGCAAACTGTCAGGTTGGGTTAGATTTCCCATGTATACTTTTTGGGTTTGTAATTATTAAATTAACAATAACAGTACTGTCACACACACACACACACACACACACACACACACACACACACACACACACACACACACACACACACACACATATATATATATATATATATATATATATGACAGGACCGTTTGGTTGGGGCTAATGGTCACATTTATGGAGCTGTTTCAGGCTTTATAACTTTTAAGTTCAACATGCAATTGCTTTTGCAACCCATTTGACTTTTATTATGTCACGTAGTTCACGTGAAACATATAGAGTGTAAAGTAGCCGTTCCATATCATAACGGAGAACTGATAACTGCTGAAAGGAAAAGTTCCTTCAAGTTCACGAAAGATTACAAAGACATTATCATGTAATGATGAATCATTCACAATAAGACCAGGAAGGTTCACCAAGAAAACAGTCTTTTTTATATTGCATTTACTTTAACACCTGTGCAGACCTCCTGAAAACATGAGTACTCCATTCACTGACCCGACTGTTTTATGTGTCTCCATGAGCATGGTGCCATCAGCTCCTGGGATAGGCATGGAGTTGTAACGCACGTTCACCTGATTCCTTCTCAACAGGAACTCGCGGCCGATCTTCAGACCCTCGTAGAACACAGCCAGCAAGAACACACCAATGCACGCGCCTACCATTTCTAGAGACGAGGATGAAGAGAAGTTACAACACAAGAAACCTTTCATTGTTACCTACTTTTATCTTAATACCCCAGTGCGGAACTTCCTGGTTACAAAAATGTTCTGCTTTGTTCTCATAATTCAGATGCATCAGCTTACTAAAACTAGTACAATCTAGTAAAACCTGTGCAACCAGCACACTTGCCCATTAGGAGGTCCTATGACATTATTCACAAGAACACCACTGTTTTACATATAATAAAGGAACAACCAGTGAAATCATTTGTTTTTGTTTCAATATCAAATTTCAGGTCCCCCGTAAAGTGATTAACTGGACGTCTGCAAGTCACTGTCCTGTTGATTTACAATCTCACTGGCAGTCAGTGCATCAAGCCAATGCTCATTTGCATGCAATTTTGCCTTGAAATTTATTTAACATGACTGGATATCAATGTTATTGTTTTGTCACTGCAAACTACTGCCAGTGTGGACAGCTTTGAAAGGGTTAGTTCACCCAAAAATACAAAAGAGACATCATTTACTCATGTCGTTCTAAACTTGCATGACTTTTGCAAAACACAAAAAAATAGATATTTTGAGGGAGAAAAAAAAAATCTTTTTTTTTCAGGGGGCCCATGTTAGTATAAAAACAGCCTTTCCGAAATTTCACCAATTTAGAAGAAAAAAAACAAACACCGAGCATCTTACCTCCTGGTGTGTTGATGACCAGCCCAGTAAATAGCAGCTCCACATTTTTGCAGCCAAAGTAGAAGGTCATTTGCTGAAAGTATAAATGAAGCAACGTTTTCAGCTTATGTTTTCCCATAATGAATAACACAATTCTAATAATACGTTAAATGAAGAAGCAATCTTACTTCCACTGAACAACAGCTTTAAACGAACATCAAGTGACACACACACTTAAAGGGGTCATATGATGCGATTTCAAGCTATCCTTTCTCTTTGGAGTGTTACAAGCCGTTTGTGTGGGCAGTTCCAACTTTGCAAGGATAGTCTGGCGCTTCTGACTCACAGCCTGTAAGTATGTTTTTATATTTAAAGAATTTGCCACTGACGATTCAAACGCGAGTTTTGAGCAGTGTAGAGT